AGGAGAAGGAGAAGGAGAAGGAGAAGGAGAAAAGAGAATTGGGCCCAGGAACTACTCACATACTTAATGCTTCTAAGTAGAGAAGATTGTGCGGTCAGTGGTAGGTAAAAGCCTTTGCTGTCTCTAATCCCTCTGATCTTGCTTTACTGCCTTGGTAGTCGCCTTGAGCTCATTTTTTCTTTTTAATGTATTTAGTACAGGGTCTACAGGGTCTCACTACACAGACTGGATTCGTAATGATTCTCCTGTTTTCAGCCTCCCAAGTGCTGGAAGTACAGGCACACACCACCACACCCAGTCTCAGTCACCTCTCAGCAAGCCCCAGGGGCAGGGCTGGCATGGAATGCCAGGATGGAACCCAGGTCCCTGCGCTCTGCCTAAGCAGGTGCTTTAGTCTGCTAAGCTATCTGGCCCGCCTTCTTGAACTCATTTTGAATCTTTCTGTCTCTTCCAAACCTTCATATTATACCTCAGATTTTGGTGCACTAGCCCCATTAGGTAAGTAAACCAGAGAACATATTAGGTAAATACTTTTATAATCTGTTTATAGAATTCTGCCATAGATGAGAATGTTTTGTGTGTTTGTTTCAAATAAATCAAATATAAACCCTATATATCATGACTTCCCAAACAAAAATCCTGCTAAGACATCATTGGAAAGCCTCGGTCTGGTTTATGACCAATGAAGTTTCCCCTGAATAAATGACACATTTTTCTTGTGTATCTATTTTTTCTTTTACTTTTGTTTTCCTTCTTTATCATAATCAATTTTTATTTTGTTTTAAGACAGGGTTTCCCTATGTTGTTCAGGCTGGCCTTGAACTCACAGTGATTCTCCAGCCTCAGCCTCCTGAGTGCTGGGATTACAGGTGTAGGTCTCCATACCTGGATTTTCTTATTATCAGTTTTGGTTTACTTGGTCATGTATAATTTATTCTACCATAAAAGTCCTTTATTTCATTTTTTGTCAATGAAACAACAAAAACTTCTGTCAGTGCTGAATTTCAAAGATTGATTTTAAATCTTTACACAAGAATAGTGGAAGTAAAGAAGCAAAGCAAAGCATGTTACTGAAGACTGCTCTGGAGATAAAGTAGCAAAGATGACCTTTGGTCATCACTGGACTTTTGGATTTAACTCACAACTGTTATGCAGGTGGTCCATCCAGGCCAAAATTTCCCTAAATTGAATTTCTGACTTCTTACCTGGAGAATTCCAACTACAAATGTCATACTGCCTTGAAGGAAATGTCCATTAACAAATATTCCAAAGGAAAAGCAGCAGCCCAACTTGCCATCAATAATTTCACCAAAAAACCACGGCCCTAAGAGAGGCAATGGACAGAAAAGGAAAAAGTTAAATCTGAAACTTAATTACATATATCAGAGATGCATTTATAGGAATACTGAACACTAATCATCTCTAAGCATTTTACTTCATAGCATTTTTTCTTTGCTAATCTCTGTGCTGCGCTGGATATTCTAATTGTTTGCACCATGTTTCTCTTGATTTTAACACTGTCCAACTACATACTCTACCTAAAATAGATATGCCACTTGTAGATTCAAACAATAAGCCACATCACACTCATAAAATGTTATATATTCTTTTGTAATAATAACCTTAATGCAATGTTCTAGCACTTCCTTTAAGCACAGAGGTATTCTACTGAAGCCAATTTTTGAGATAACAGAGATTTACTCCTTAAAGCAATAAAACTTTGATTATGATGCACTCCTGAGGCCAGGCTTGGTGGTACATGCTTATAACTGCACAACGTGAGAGGCTGAGGTAGGAGGACTGCCATGAGTTTGAGGCCAGCTGGTTCTACTTACTGAGTTCAAGACCAGCCTACACTACATAGAGACTATGTCTACAAAAAGAAAAAAAAACCAAAATCAAATAAAAAAGCACTCATATACTTTTCTTTCTTGCTAATATAATGAATATATTTTAACTTTTCTTTTTTATCTTTGGCGGAACCCAGGATT